GGGATTGGTATCAATCGAAATGGGTATGAAAAAGATTTATTTCTCAACTACATGTAGAAGGCTGCCACCTGTTCAAAAAATCTAATTCCATTTGAATTAAAGGAATTAGGTAATTCAAGTAGATAGATATCACCATATGGGAGACAGCCGAACGAGTTTTAAGAAGGTTTTATCTTGCAAATATTACGTAGAGGGTTGCCACTTGTTTGTAAATTCAAATTTGTTTAAACTAAATTAATAATTGTTCAAACCAAAGGTTTACGACAACGTATTTGTTATTTTTATTACAAATACATACATTGTTAATCAGTGATTGTTTCTGATTCCTTTTAAATTACTGGACTCTTAAATTGACTTAAAAATGTTTTTACTCTTTACTTATTGCTTGCTCAATATGTTCAATTTTGATATACATATTTCAGTTACCGTATTCCTTCAATTAAAGTGAGTTTGTTTCTTTTGAACATGTGGCAACCCTTTTACGTGTCATGTAGAAGTAAAGCATTTTCAAACCCATTTCAATTGATACCCATGTAATGTACTTATTAAATAATTTTAATATAATTTGTAACAGGTGGCAACCCGTTTCAAAAAAATAAAACTTTATTGCACATCTACAGGCCAAGCCTTGTCGTTTGACACCTCACTTTTGAAAATAGAAGGAACTATATATACATACATACCTATATAAGTTTCCCAAGAACCTGAATTTTCAACTTCAAACTGCATTGACGGTGAAACTATGAAAGTTTTCCAAAAAAAAAATTTCATTTAAATTCGTCCATAATTCTATTTTTGCCCACATTTTATATGGAAGGGAGAGTGCGTGCATCCTCGCGTTTTCGAGAAATTGCATTCCAAACTTAAATCGTGATTTCCCAAAATCGGCCGGAAGTAACACATGACTCTCTTTACAGTCTGGCTTCTAGTTAAAAAATCTAAATCTTGTCGGCCTGTGTTCTTATTTTTTAATTTTGCTCACTGGGATGTAGTGTANTTCGTCCATAATTCTATTTTTGCCCACATTTTATATGGAAGGGAAGCACTCTGTGCATCCTCGCGTTTTCGAGAAATTGCATTCCAAACATCAATCGTGATTTCCCAAAATCTGTCGGAGGTAACACATGACTCTCTTTACAGTCTGGCTTCTAGTTAAAAAATCTTGTCGGCCTGTGTTCTTATTTTTTAATTTTGCTCACTGGGATGTAGTGTATGTATGTATTTGTATGCATGTGTATATACACAAAATGCTCTTTGTTAAAATTTTCAAGTTACCTTGTTGAGACTACTAAATTTTACGACAATTTGACTTAAAAGATGTTGAAATATATATTTTATATGCACATAAAGATTTTCTTTTCTGTTACTTTTAGGATTATTGCAAAGTCATTAAGCAAATTAATTTTAATTGCATACACACTCACAAGAAAGTGGAACTCTGTGCAGCACTTTTTGGCTCTCGGGCAGCGCGCTGCTCCCATTTCATTAATTTCAACTGTAATTTTGTTCGACCGAAGGTTGTCGAAAGTTGCTATTTATCAGCTTATTGTGGTGATAAGCTTTAGCGAGTTGTACAAGGTTTATGGCTTCACATTGTCTCATTAAATTACAAGTTTGAAGGAAGTCTATCTTCTTTGCATGAAAAGCAAAAAAAAAACACCATGCATTAAATTTACATCAGGTCTTGTATTTGCAATTGGAATAGCATTAGCAAATTTTTTGTGCTCGCTGCAATGGCAACCGTGTGCATTTTTTTGTTGTGAATCTACAAATGCACCGAATATCCAAATGCAAGAACATCGTGTGCATATCCTGAACAGCCCTAATGTTTTCAGATTTAGGGCCGGTTACTCAATGTCCGGTTAACACTAATCTCCGGTTAAAAATCAATATCGACGTCGTCGAGTCAGTAACGTCGATAACGATGTTTACCCGCAGATTAGTGTTAACCAGGCATTGAGTAACCGGCCCTTAGTAAAATTTCTCTGTCTAATCAGCTGCTTGACAAAATTGAGTAAATAGCAAACAAAATGAAACTTAGAAGTAGACGTCTTATTGCAAATCGACTATCCGAATATTCGATTAGTCGATTAGTACACCCTTGTTCATATACATACATATGTACATACATGATCAAAAGTGGCCAAAAATGGAAATCTTATCGGAACTCGGAGGTTTTTTGGATCGCTGATTGCGAATCTGAAGTTATATTTGAAGAACTCAAAATGGTGGATCTAATATGGCGAACAATATTTTGAAAGTCAATCGGATAATTTTTTACTCGAGGGCGATTGACGTCGCCGATTTCGAATCTGCAGTTAGATTTAAAAAATTCGAAATGGCGAATCCCATATGGCCGATAAAAAAACGCGCCTGAAGTTTAGTGTTTTAGTTTTCGAAGCCGACCACGAGGAGATTACAGTATGAATAAAGCCTTAACTTTTTTTGTTTTATTTAAAAGTTTTTTTTTTAATATTTAGTTTTTTATATTCTTTTTTTTTAAGTTTTTTAACTATTTTTAAGTGGAAAAAGAAAACTGATTGATAGCACAGGGCAACACTGGTTTTGATGCGGCAAATGTTAAAGCTGTTTTTGATAGACTTTCTGGTGCTGATCAAGAATCCGTAGGTATAAAGTTTCCATCTGGTTCAGATTTTGAGAAAAACAAGGTCAAAGTGTCAAAAAATCGCGTTTTTTCCAATTTTCGTTCCGTTGGACCATAACGGCAACGCTGATCATAAATGGAAACAGATCTCTATGAGGTTCACATCATTGTTGATGAATTTGCGTGCAAATTTTTTAGTCAGATTCCGATCATTGGTCACGGGACCATAGTTATATTATTTAAAAGTTTATCGGTATGAGTATCGAAAAAAATCGATAACATTTTATGACATTATGGATAAATATACATATTTATCGATAATAACACCCTGAAAACTATCGATGTTGATATCAGCCAATGTATCGACAACTATGTATGCATACATATGTACATTAGGCTGGGTATTTCCTGATTGTGCAGATAATCCTAAGAGAAAGTATAGACACAAAACAGATGTATTTACTTTCTACAAATAGCTTAAACAAAAAAATCAAATGTAAGAGATCTAAATCCAGATATTTTATATACAAAAGTTTTAAGAAAAGATGAAAACAACTAATATTGTGAAATTTAATTTTTAATTTAAAAATGTGCAGGCTAGAAACTCATTTCCGAATTATAGTGTATTGTACATTTTCTCTTAGAATTATCTATAAAAGCATAAAATACTATGCGATTCGTCGAAAAACTTTCGTCCGAACAATTTGACCCACCCTAATGTATATACTTTACAATTTTACAAACATTTTGAATAATTTATTTCTGGTATTCTCCAGTCACATTTTTGTAATTAAATTAAAAAACTGTCTTTGTAATTAAATAAAAAAACTGTCTTCAAATAAAAAAATAATTTAACATAATATGTGTCTATAAAACTGCAAACTTTGCTATGCATATATTTATAGTACATACATATGTACCTGCGTATAAATAGAGGGGTGAAGGTTACATTTTGCAATAAAAATAACAACGATAAAAGTAATTAGGAAGTAAATTTAAGCATTAAACGTTATGACCAAATTTTTTTACTGCTGTCTATTTCAAGGTAAGGACAACATTCTTAAAGGTCATTTTCAATGCCTATTCGTCCTTTTGCACAAAAAAATTAATATTTTTCAATTGTAAAGGATTTTATCTTCTATTTGGTAGCCATAATCTTATTCTATATAGCACTAAGTTTTTTAAATAATTTTTGGAGCTATTCAAATATTTAAAATTTCAAAGGTCTCTATAAAAAAAATCCTGACGCCAGAAAGAAAAACTTAAAACGCATTTTTACTAAATTTGGCCCCCATTTTTAAGAGTATATTCATTATTTCGAGTGTTTTGAAATTTTTTGTTCGATTTTAACTCATAACGCAGTTTTACTATACTAATACATATATATTTATTTCTTCTAGGCTGAATACAGATTTAAGAAATTTTTATAGTAAAAAATTAATTTTTCATTTCTTATACGTCACTCTATATGAAGTTTTCGTTTCGTTATCGAGACAGCCCCTAATAACGGCCCTATTTAAAATGTTTGTTTGTTTACAGAAAAACGTCATAAAAATCGAAGCTCTTCAGCTGAAAAATCTTTCTATATTAAGGTAACTAGTTTAGCTGAGTCAGCAAAGGGTTAAACAAATAAATTTTTTTCTATTTCCTTGAATGTATGGTCCAAAGTTTAACGGTAATCGAAGCACTTCAAATTTTAGTTAGATACTTTTACATGAATCATCACTGCAATTAAATATTTACAAACTTTTGATAATCAGATGCCAAATTTATCAGTCAGATTAAATAGTACATAGGCGTATTTGATTTTTTTTTTTGTTGTTTTTGCTCTAACATAATTTTCCAAATTACTAATAATGGTTCTGTGTAGTTTTCTTTGCTGATAGGTAGACTAGACCACTTTCGCAATGCTTGGCCATTTCCGCAATGCACGGCACTGCTCGGGCTGACACAGGTGTGCCACTTTGCTGATAAGTAATCAAATGTTTTGTGATAAATGTGCAGGTGTTCAAATTTTCACGCAAAAAAAAGGCGATAACTACACAGAATTCTACTTACTGATTGCTTACGTTCCAAGAATTTTACATTAAGCGCACATAAGTAAGCGACAAATGCGGAATATTAACCATGTTTCATAGTAAATATTAGTAATCTAATACTTCATTTCCACCAAGCCTTAGCTGCAGTTTATGGCTATTGGAAAAAGACGCTTACAACTCGGAGGGAAAAACAGCAAAAAGTATTTAACAATAAACCTTGCCGAACCTTTTATTAAAATTCCTGAAACCTACCTGCGCTCTGAACTGGAGTTAAGCTTTTGGTGGCAATAGGCTATAAGCCACGCTTTTTAGTTTATTTTTATTTATTTTTTTAATCTTAATGACTATTTACTCACCTCACCACGCATGCGCGTAAATATATCAATCCAATTTGCGAACATATAAACGCCGCCGACGAAGAAGAGTGCGCCCAGCGCTACGACACTCAATCGCCAAAGGAAGTGACACAGCGAAGAGGTCATCTTTGATGTTTGTTTTTCTGGTGCTGTTTGCGCTAGATGTGTAGACTGTTGTGTGATGATTGTACAAATATGTATGTATGTATGTATGTGGGTCTTTTTCTACACCCACTCTAATACGCGACGCAAGTGGTTGCAAGTTGCTGCGTGCAACCGCACTTCACAAAAACTAAGTATTTATTTACTTAACGGTCTCGGTTCTTTTTCTTTGTGTCACTTGCACGGATTACGTTTACTAATTGTATTTGCACTAGAAAACGAATAAACGATAGCAAAAGGAAAACAACAAAAACACTGTATTAATAATGCGACACTTTCTTAAGTAAAGCAGAAATTTTCTTAAGTAAATACTTGAATAAGTATGTAAAATATGTATATATGTATGTGCTTATTAAATATTGTATTGTATTTAGTAGATATATTTAGCGCTTTAAGTATTTAGATGGCGCATAACGCGTCAATTCGTTTGCCTCCCACAATGTAGACTGCAAATTTGCTAGTTTGCTAAATTCACTCGTCGCTTGGACGATCGTCTGATTTTGCAAGGCATTCTTATCAGCAATTAGAGTCGTCAAAATTCCACAGATAATCATTTGGACTTAGCGAGTCAGGCGCGATAAAGCCCAAAGTGGGAGCCGGTGAAATAAATATATAAATATTCGTGCAGTTAAGTGTATACTAAGTGCTGGAAAAAGCGCTCTGAGACTTTTACTCTCATTCAATAAATACTTAAATAAAGAGCACTAAAGTTTACCTTGTTTTGTTGGCGAGTAAACATAGTAAATATATATGTATGTATATAGATATATTACATTGAAATGGTAGTCAGAAAAAACAATGAATATGTATAAGTTTTTATATACTTATGTATTTATGCGGATTCATTTCGTTAAGCATGACACATCATTTGTAGCGGAGTTATAAAAAAGATTTTGATATATATACAGTGGTGGCAGAAATAATAGACTCGCCTTACTTTGAAGAGGTTTGGCTATTATTCCATGGTTTGTTTTATGTTAAATATTTTTTTTATAAAAACCTTTTCGAACTTTATACAAAAATTATAAAAATTTGACAGATTTTCACCCAATTTTTAAACTTTTAGAAAAATTTTTGGTATGCGGTTTTGTAGCCCATTCCATTTTAGTATAATAAAAAGAAGGTTTTAAGTGGGTAGAAAATACCATTGATTTTTGAATTTTTTTTTTCTTGTGGACGATGCTAGGCATTTCTTCCATATAAAAAAATTGTCGAGCACACTTTGTATGGGAAAAAATGCGTGACACCGTCAGCATAGACTATTATTTAAAATCAACGGTATTTTGTAGCCAATTGAAACTTGATTTTTGTTATACTAAAAAAAGTTCTGAACAAAAATTTTGAAAATTTGGTGAAAATTTGTCGAATTTTTATAATTTTTGTTCAAAGTTTGAAAAGCGGATTTTCTATGATGTTTGTTGCATAACTACCTAGGCTTTTATAAAAAAAAATATTAAACATAAAATAAACTAAATGAATATAGCCAAAATTCTTAAGAGTACGACGAGCCTATTATTTCTGCCGCCAGTGTATGTAAAAACATTAATTTTTTTCCATGTCTCTGGAATTCTATTTTAAAACATTTTTGATTCACAACGTTTTTGGGCAAACTGGACTAGAGCAGATCGCAAAATACTATGTATGTATGTATGTGTACATATTAGGGTGATTAATTCGGTTTTATCAAACCGGTTTTTGTGGATAGCAATAGGCGGTTTTTTGAAGTCGTGGTTTTTCGAATATCGAATAATTCGGATTTTTTTATAGAACAAACCGGGTTTTTTATTTCACACAAATCTTGATCTCTCAATAACAGCTTTGAGTTTTTCGAAGTTTTGAAGACTTTTCCTAGTTTAAGCGAAACCCCTAGGTTATTTGGCGATGATGTTGCGACATAAATGGAGAGATCTACACTTTTACTGCACCTCCGAAGAAGCTTTGTTATGGCAGAAGTATGCTAGGAACTTTGCCATTGTCTGCCGAAGGACAACCGCTATATGCGAAAAAAAAATGTATTTTGCTGGGACAAGACATTGAATCAGGGACATCCGTAGTGGTAGTAGGCACTCAAAGCGGGAAAAAGTCAGAAAAATGCAATAAGGTATTTAAAAAATTTTAAAACAAGGCCCATCGTTATTTTTCCACTGATTTTTATTTGTTTTACTTTTAATCCAAACAAAAAAAAAACTGTATGTATATGTACTTATTTCGCTATGCTCTTTTCTAAATAAAATCTGTCTTTAGTGTTAATAGTTTTGTTGTAATTTTTGGTCATGACTTCATATCAAAATGAGCATTTTTACTTATGTAGAATAAAAGCGGTTTATCTGGTTTTCTCTTAACCGGTTTTTTCACATTGCAATTTTTCGAATAACTTTAAAACCGGTTTTGGAAAAAATCCGAATAATCTAACACCCTAGTACATACATATATAAATATGTTCTTATTAAGTTAACAAGCATGGGCGTTTACAGGGGGCAAGTGGGGCAGCTGCTCACCCCTAGCCTCAAGAAATTTTGCATTTTCTTCTTATTTATTGGCGCTGTAACCACCCTAGCGATTTCGGCCCAGTCCAAAAGAGCACGCCAGTCGCTTCTCTTCTGTGCTAATATTTTCCTTTTTTAAGTTATTATTTTTTAATTTTTTGTTAATTTTATCGTTTTAGAAAGAAACATATTTTTAAATATCGTTTAATTTTTAGAAACTTATTTTATAAATTTTTTTTTTTCAAAATTTTTTTTTTTTTAATTTTATTTTGCTGTATCTTTTAGTTTTTATTGGTTTGAAATGAAAAATATATACTTTTTAATATCTTTTGATTTTTAGAAAACTTATTGCTAAAACACAAACAGAATAACGCTAAGAGCTCCCCATTAGCTAATCTTTCAATTAGTCTTTCGAAAAACAGAAAAGATCTTTCAAAATAGTTAGACATCTTCCCGAAGATAGTTGTTTGCTGCAGAGTTTGCACCGTTAACTCAATCTTACAAGCCCTGCATATTCATTATGAAAATGGGGAAGAGTGTTCTTTGTTCTCAAAATCTGTCGCTGTTCAAACATTTGAAATTTAAGTGAATTGAGATACCACTACTACCATTTAGAAAACGTAACTTTTGCTGGATTTTAAACAATCTCGGCTTACTTGTGTGTCTTATTTCCAGTAACATTAAGGCTAACTTTTTTGTTTATAAAATGTATACATACATACTTACCACGTACTTAGGTTCTACACAAAAAATATAGCGAAACATCGGTAACGACAAATCACACATGCCTACACAATATTCATTTCTCTGTTTACTTTTAGTTATACTTTTTTGTTTGCTTTACGTGAAAATTTGTTATGAACTGGTTTGACAACTTTTAATTACTTACTCGAATGTCTCGCCTTCGATATTTTGTGTGCTGTGCTAATGTGCGCGATATTTATAAATAGCAAACGAATGACAATAATCCATAAGAAACGCGTACGGACCGATGGTATGTATGTATATGGGGCGTTCCATACCCAAACGGACGGCGTTCACACTTCATGTGTTTGATTTGTTTAAAATTTTTAGGGTTGATGCATAAACAAAAATAATAAATAAATATGAAATTTGAGCTTGATTAGTAGATTTTTAAAAACTTTACAGCACAACAAAAACAAATCGATTTAATAGTTTTCTAAATATCTCGAGAAGGGAGCGGGGAAAAAATTTGAAAAAAAATCACACATACACACATCGAAATTATCTATGAAAAGAAATATTTAAAAAAAAATTGTTTCTTGAAAAATTTTTCACATAAAAATATTTTGAAAAAAAAAAATTAGTTTTTGAAAATATGCCATCTCAAACAAAACTAAAACAAAAATCACAATGGTAACTCTGAGTGTTGCGCAATACTTAAGTATAGTATTTCGGGGTGCACTCTACAATAATTTGAGTTATGAATTTTTTTTACACCGAAGTTGAGTAAAATGAGACCATTACAAATTTACAATTTTTTTGAAATTTTTTTCAGTATGCAGTTTTGTAGCCTATTAAATTTTAGTACAATATAGTGCAAGTTTTAAGCGATTGCAAAACTAGCGTTAATTTTTTATTTATTTTTTTTTTTTAAACGGGTTTGCGCATTTTCTTCCACAGGAAAAAAATGCAAAAAGCCGTCAGCATAAAGAATATTAAAAATCAATGCAATTTTGCAGTAGCTGAAAACTTGCACTTTGGAAATATTTGAGCGTGTTGAGCGACTTACAGATATTTTTTTGATTTAAACAATAAAAAAGTACGAGTATATTTTTTTGGTATAGAACAATCCTAGGAGGCGAGAGCAATAATATTCCGACATTAAGTTTTTTTGGACCACTCTAATGTAATGTAGGTGCAATACATGTTAATAAACATTGGAATTTTTTTTACTGAATATCGAGTTTTTATATTCAATTAAATGCGAAATATTCACGTTCATACATTGTTTTTATCAGACGAACCTGATGTTCGTAAAGTATGTCTGTAAATATGTATGTATGTGAGTACGTACGTATGTATGTATATTGGTATGTATATTATTAAAATTAATTCAGTATAGACTTACTACTACTTAACATTGTTTTTTTTATTTTTTGTAAACATGTATTGTAAAGCTGTGATTCATGCCCCGCACAGTTGGGGCCCTTGTTTTCGTGACGGACATACAAATAATGACGTATGCTATGCATGAGTTTTAATACTTTTTGTTTTGTTCAGAAATTTTTGGTAAAAGGTGAATGTGCTTATTTTTTTATATCTATTACCACAGATAAAATTTAATTAATTATATTAAGCTGTTCTGTAAAACGAAACATATATTTCCCCTGCTAGTGCGAAAGTTGACTTTGAAATTTAAATACTAATTATTGTTACACCAAATAAAATTTCGGTTTGAAACCTTTTAGAACAAAAAAAAGAAATAATAAAAAAATAATAATTTTTCTTATCTTTAAATTTTATTTAAAGTAAACACGTGTTTTGACTCCTGTTCGCTTTTGCGTACGATTACGATATTTTTACTAACAAAAAAAAATTAAAAAAAATGTGGTTTTGCAAAAATTACGACTTTCTAGGCGTTTTAGCGGGAAAAAGTTTTCTGTTTTATCTAGTAACCACAAACAAATTTTGAAGAAAATTAAAAATGATGTTTTTGAGGAAATTGAGTCTTTTGATTTTTCCAAAACCGGCCGCCATTTTCTAATTTAATTTAAAAAAATTTTCAAATTTTCAAGTATGCAAATATAGAGCGTCAAAAACGCTTCTACAATAAAAAAACCGAATCAAAATTTATAGATTAAAAAAAAAACTAGAAAGATTTGAAAACAATGGTCAGCCAGCCGTTTTTCTCTAAAACCACACTTTGCCCTAAAAATTTCAGATACTCGTAACTAAGAAACTTCTTTTTGCAAAACAAAAAAAAATATGTGTCTCTCTCTTTATTGGT